AAATATAAATATTTTTAGTGTTTTATTAGATTTTGACATTGTTGTATTTTCAGCATTTTTAAATTAATTTCTACATACATATACATGTATATATAGGGCAAACATAGTCCTTCCAGTAGTAAGTAAAAGTGATTACCACAGACGAGTCCCTCTTCACTTTCAGTGGAAAATGCAAAATCAATAAACACATTAGAGCAGCTCCTTTAAAAGCTCTACACTGCTGAGGCCTTCAGAAGTCTATTTAGCTTGCAATAAACATTTTCATTGATATTAATTGACCATATCTGCCCTTATTTGGCAATAGCTTAATCATCATTTTTTCAGAGCCTAGTAAATGTAATAAATACATGTTTAAGTAAATATGGAAAAAATTGTAGATTTATAAATTTATATAGTTATTTATACATAAATAAATTGAATTGAAAGCAGACAAAATTATGTCGAAAGGGATGCGAAAGGCCAATGTAATAATTAAATTGCATTTGCGTCTGCGGCCGTTGTCCTTCAACAAAATGGCGGCGGCAGCGAATGCTCTGTGTATGTGTGTGCGTGTGTGCTGTAAAAATATTTATGTGACCGCCGCACAGTCATTGGTTTTTGGCCGTATTTTTTTCCGTTCAAAGGGCGCCTCCACACAACCGCACAATTTACAATATTATTGCTAGCGCCATCTCTTTTGCACATGCTGACTCGCCCCCTCTCTCTCTTTCTCACTGTCTCTCTGTCTGTCTTCAACATCAGTCTGTCACTGTTGCTCTTGTGCTTATATTTATGCATGGCAGTGCTTAAATTTATTTATCATTCAATTAAATATTTAAAATACCAAAAAATGCTTTCACCACTGTCCACACACACACACGCACACACACACACACTCTCTCTCTCTCTCACACACACACACCTTTAATATTGAAATTGAAATCATAAATAAATGAGCAAATTTGTGTTGTTGTTGTTGCATTTTTCTCTGTATTTTGTATTTTGGTCTTCTGGCTTCCATTGTGCGAATGCGAACGGGTTTATTTGCTTTGGCTGAGGCGCCACGCGGCGTATGCGTAACGTGTGTGTGTGTGCTCTGTGTGTGTGTGTACTCGCTACATTTTACTGTTATTATAACATTCGCTCTGTTTTTTTCTCATTTTTTTTTTTTTTCGTAATATATTTTTTTTTTTTCTGCTGTTTGTTTGTTTGTTTGCTGTTCACGCAGTGTTTGTAAAATTAATTGACATTTTATTTGTTAATTAATTGTTATAGCCGTTGGTCGGCCAGCACAAATGGCCAAATGTCCAAATGGTCAAATGGCCAAATGGCTTTTCATTATTGTTATTACAAATGCCGTGGCCATTATTATTTGCTCGTTATGTGTGTGGGTGCATGTGTGTATGTGTGTGTGGCGCAATTTAATGCATTTGTAATTTAGTTGTAGTTTTAATTGCAAAAATTGTTAATTTTCTAATAATTTATTTATTTACATGATGCAAATTACAACAAAGCTCGACAATTGGCTGTGAATTGAGATGGGTTAGGCCTGGGCCTCAGCTGGGCCCGCGCTCTATATCAAAGTTGCAAATTGCCGAAATCTATTTCAAGAGAAGTTGCCAAAAATCATCAGCTGTATATATAATCATATATGTATGTATGATTAACAATAAATATTTAGTAGGCATTTCACACTCATTTTTTTTAGAAACATAATTCTGTTTTATCTCTTTTCTCTCTTTTAATGCTAGTTTCCAGCCTGCGTTAAGTTTTCGACTTCATTACACGAGCTTCAGTCTTGGAATAACTACACAATGCCCTAATTCAAGTGATCGTGCCTATGTTTATTCGCATTTGCATACACACACACACACGTATACCCATATACTCTCCCGCATGCACACCACACACACAAACACAACTGGGCAATAGCCTTGCCTCACTTTAACTTGATCTCGCGCTCAGTCTACGCAGCATAGAGCGAGAGAGAGAGAGAGAGAGAGAGAGAGAGCTTTGACAGCCTCGTAGAAAACGAAGAAGCAGAGCAACAACAACAAACTTCAAAATACCTACACACACACACATGCACATTGGAGAGAGAGCTTGTCTAGATTTGTAAAAATGCAGCTATTCGATTGACTTTGCATTTTAGTTGAGCGCTGCTGAGAGAGAGAGAGAGAGAGAGAGAGAGAGAGAGAGAGAGAGACAGAGAGAGCTAAGCTAGCTGTTGCTGTAGGTTGTCCTAGCTGTTGGCAAGTTAGAGCGAGATACCTATAGGGTCCTCTTGCTTGTGAGCGGACGAGCAGCACGACTGATTGGAGTCTTTCGATGATGGGCGAAGAGGAGAAGAAGAAGAGAGTAAAAATTACAGGCGATCAAATTGTATGTAAATATATGTAAGCAATTAAATATATTTTTAAT